GTTAACCACTGACAATTTGAAATTTTTCGTAAACATTTAAATTTTCCCAATTTTACTAAAAAAGAAAGGTTAACCCCTTACAATTTGAAATTTTTCATACACATCTTATTTTGCCAAATTTTACTACAAATGCAATTTTAACCCCTTACAATCTGAAATTTTCCAGAAAGATCTGATTTTTCCCAATTTCGCTAAAAAATGCAAGGTTCACCCCTTACAATTTGAAATGTTTCATAAACATCTAAATTTTACTTAAAAAGCAAGGTTAACCCCTTACAAGCTGCAATTTTCCAGAAACATCTGATTTTTCACAATTTTGCTAAAATGCAAACTGTTAAATCAATACATTAAGTTTCTCTTTTTCCTTTCTCTTTTGTTGTTGCTATATTTTGCGAATTAACTCATTCGTATGGAATGCTCATAGTCAATCAAAGAATATTTCACATGCATAGGCGACTAAATTATATTTTTCTTTTAAATTTAATAGAGACGCATTGATCGTGCTATCATATACCGTTCTATTACTATTGCGAATTACTGTATTGTTTGGAATAATGCTCACAATTAAAGACACGTTATTTGAAAGATGTATAAATATATTTATATTACAATGTACATCTTTATTCTTTCCCGGTATAATTTATGGCTTTTCTTACGTCAATTGGCAATCGCGTCATTATATAATGATAGTCAAATTGATCGAACGAAACTCCGTTTTGATTATAGTCAATTATGAAATATTCATTGATTTATGACATACACCTTTGTTTCAATTTTGATACTACCCGTAGACCTGCCGAGCAGCTGTAGATATCAAACTAAACCAAAGTATAAAAGATAGAGGGTAAAAAAATCAAAAAGTTATGTGCTAGTCAAGCTTTCAGGGATCGGTCTGAGCCATAACAATGCCCCAGCCGATCCCTTAGTTCTCTTCCGGGGTCTCGGCGTCCCCGACCAATACACACTTCCTTCCCTATCCATCCATATAACCCCGGAGGGCCAGGCACCATGTAAAAGCAAAGAGCTAAGGGAGGAACAGGGCGGCCCCTAAGCCCTGATCCTCCGAGTGGACCACATGCCCTGAACCTGTACGAAGGCGCCAACCTGGAACTCGCGGACAGTACCAGCAGCAGTGCTTACCGATTAAGCTAAGATACTGTTGGTACTTTACGACGGGAAATTAAATCTCTTATAGTGAATAATTGAACTCATACGTTAAAAACCAAAAAAGACACCAGCGGGATTCGAACCTGGGACCCCGCTAACCGTGGACGACGAATCGTAACCACTCGGCCATTTCGTTACCTTAGAGTTTTCCTTAAACTGAGAAAAGTTGGCTTTATAGGTGAGCAAACGCGCCAGGAAGATTACTGGGTCCATTTGCTTTACCTTAATGGGTAAAAACAAGTCGATATAATGAGCCCAGTGTGTTTGGTGTGTTAGGAAGCTGCATATTCACAGCCTAATGTGCAAAACAGTCGTGTGCTAGGCGGATCATTACGCAACAATGAACACCGCAATTGTGTATTTTCAAAAGGCAGACGCGTAGGTTTCTACTCTTTGTATCTGGGCACATATAGATTCTCACCTCCCTCTTCAGCTATTTCGACTTTCTTAAAAAGAAAAATAGAGACTGTCAGCGAATCTCCGGGAGTTGAAATAAGGATCGTCCCCTCGATAGACCTCAGACTCAGTAAAGTTCAACATTGGGCTCTTTTTCAACAGCTGTTTTTTGCGGAATCTTTACATCTGGATTTTTTAGAAGCATCTGATTTTGCCCAATTTTAGTAAAATATGCTCCAAATTTTGCTAATTACCATTCTAGATTTTTCATACAAATCTGATTTTGCCCAATTTTACTAAATATACAAGGTATACAATTTAAAAATGTTCATAAACATTTCTTTTTGCCCAATTTTGCTAGAAATACAAGGTTACGCCCTAACAATCTGCAATTTTCCAGAATCATCCGATTGTGTCCTAATTTGCTTTTAAAAAAATACAAGGTTTGCCCCTTACAATTTGATTTTTTTTCATGAACAATTAATTTTCCCAAATCTTATTCAAAACGCAAGGCTAACCCCTTACAATCTGCAATTTTCCAGAAACATTTGATTTTTTCCGATTTTCGCTTTAAAAAAAAATGCGAGGTAAACCCCTTTCAATTTAAAAGTTTTCGTAACATCTAACTTTGCAAAATTTCACTAAAAAAGCAAGGTTAGGCCAAAAAAAGTCTCCGGTTTCTGGTATGGAGCTTGCCCAAAAAGTGGTGCGGCGACGCGGCTTTTTTTTTTTTTTTTTACCTGTTTTTTTTTGGCTGACTGCAAATGGTGCCCGACTAAACTTAGTGCAAATATTATGGGAGACCAGAGAGGCCACATAAAGCTTATTCTCGATCATAACCCCATCTAAAAACACGTTACAATTTTGCAGCAGCAGGATTCCAGTCAAACCAGTGAGTTTGGCGGTTTTGAGACATCATCGTTCATTGAAAATAAAAACTTTTTCATTTTGCCGACGCGCATGGCTACGGCGACGCGCGCGCATACCAGAAACCGGAGACTTTTTTTTTGGCCTTAATCCCTTACATCTGAAATTTTTCGGAAATTTGATTTTGCCCAATTTCGCTAAAAATATGCAATGTTCACCCCTTACAATTTGAAATGTTTCATACACATCTAACCCCATACAATCTGCAATTTTCCAGAAACATCTGATTTTTCCCGATTTTGCTAAAAGAAATGCAAGGTTAACCCCTTACAATTTGATTTTTTTCTCATAAACATCTAATTTTGCCCAATTTTACATCAGCTTATGCTAACAAATTATCAGGTAACTGGATCATTAAACGGGACAGGTGCACATCGGCCTTGGAGCTCAGACCATGTGTCATGCACTCCTCAATGCATAGATGATGCACATAACACTATGGGTAGTGCAGGCACATCTGGGGGTACTGCCCAAACAATGATGAACGTATTGCGTATGCTTACAGAATTACCCACAATTCCGGTTTTACCGTTTAGGTCTGGCTCTAATCAGTTTACGCGATCCCCTGACGTCTCATACACTGACTTTAGGCAAAATAGTCAGACTTTCGCGGTCTAGTAACCACACTTTTACTCTTAAAGAAACATCGAATGAAAAGGGAAACATCAAATGCATATTGCAAAAGATCGAATGCAAACATACCGATGAAACATCGAATACAAATAGCTCGAAATGTCAAACATATGTGTTAAACATTGCTCACATATTTGAGAATATCGCAAATATATTGTAGAACAACACACACAATTGTATCGAAAAACATCGCACATTTAATGCAAAAATCGAACATAATATTGAAAACATCGCACATATATATCGTCAAAAACATCGCACTTATAAATTGAAAATCGCATATAAATGTAAAACATCGCACACATATATTGAACATCGCACATATATTGTAAAACATCGCACAAATATATTAAACATCGCGCAAATAATGAAAAACATCGCACACTTATATTGAACATCGCACATAAATGTAAAAGATAACAAACACATACTGAACATCCAACATATATATTGCAAAATATTGAATATTGCAACGTTTGACACGCCATACAACGCAGCTACTTTACGATCATTCTTTACCCTACGGGTGCATACCTGCAAATAAACTCCCATAGACACTAGTGCTAAATGCCCGTACTTCAAAATTCTTTTAAAAATACTCAAAACTCTCACAGGTATTCAAGCTGCACAGAAAAATGATGATCAATGTGTCATCTTTCATTTTCTTTTCAATTTATGGTGGGTTGACCATTGACTTTTCGAGATATTTTCACGCAAAGAAGACGACCCCTATTTTCCCCAAAGCGGAAAAGTAGCCATCTTGAAAAACGATCCCTCCACAACATGGCAAAATAGCGCCACTTTCGAGCCCAATAGCATCCAAAATGCTCAGAATTGGAAGCCCCGAGTCCGGGCCAGAGGTTCACTACCATATCTCTTCAATTCCCCAATTTTACGGCGCTCAGAACTCTCTAATATAGAATATTTTGAGGGTATAACTTTTATTCATGAGCTTGGCGGATCGATTTACCGGTGTGTACCCTATAATAGCAGGCAACTTTTAAATTTTAACACAAAATCACATTCAGGACAAGCAGAATATCTCCAAAGTCAATATTTTGAAAAAAAAATGAAAGAAAAATATTATCCGAGGTCGATATTAAGCCCGAAAATAGTGATTGTTTTGCCCCTGCTAAGCTGTAGAGCGCCCCCAGCGACAATAAATTGAGTTCCAGCTACTTTAAAGCTCAAAATGCCCCCCCCCCCCCCCCCTTTCAACTATCAATTGTTGTAATCGGGTGATAGCCTACTGCTCCCTTATGATTTGGAAGCATCTGTTACGGAAAAAAACCCCTGTTGATACCTTTAAAACACTTTTTCCCCCTCCCCGTAGGTTCCGCCCACTGAAAAGACCACTGCCGCGGCACAGCGCATGCGCGAAACGGCCATCTTTGTGATTCTTTATAGGGTGCATACCTGCAAATAAACTCCCATAGACACTAGTGCTAAATGCCCGTACTTCAAAATTCTTTTAAAAATACTCAAAACTCTCACAGGTATTCAAGCTGCACAGAAAAATGATGATCAATGTGTCATCTTTCATTTTCTTTTCAATTTATGGTGGGTTGACCATTGACTTTTCGAGATGTTTTCACGCAAAGAAGACGACCCCTATTTTCCCCAAAGCGGAAAAGTAGCCATCTTGAAAAACGATCCCTCCACAACATGGCAAAATAGCGCCACTTTCGAGCCCAATAGCATCCAAAATGCTCAGAATTGGAAGCCCCGAGTCCGGGCCAGAGGTTCACTACCATATCTCTTCAATTCCCCAATTTTACGGCGCTCAGAACTCTCTAATTCATGAGCTTGGCGGATCGATTTACCGGTGTGTACCCCTACGTTCGGATCGGATCGTACGGCTCTGCAGTGCACGCAGGTGTTACTGCGCCCTCTGTTGACAACAGTGCAGGTAGATTTGGACCTTGCCCCTCCAGAAACTTAGCTGCTTCTAAGTTCTAAGCGTATTTTAACCCAAAGCCTGTGTAAATATGGGGGTTCTAGATGAATTCATTGGGAAAGCTTTCTATTATACCATAGATGCACCGGTAACATTTGTCAGAGGTAAGCTGAATGCGCTTGAAATGTGGTTATAAAAGGGCTCAGTTATTGAACATGTTGAAAGAAATTAGCTTGATAACAACAGAGGGCGCCTGACTAACCCACTTTAACATGTAAAACTCATTCATAGACATATAATAAAACCTAGACACGACATTTGCTATTGCGCCTGTGAGCAAAATGCTGCGCTTATAGAATATGTTTTTTGAAGTAGGCCTTTGCGTGTAAATCAAATTAGCCACAATGATAATTCGCGCATCACGCCAGGCCGCGTTACGCAGCCCGTTTTGCTCACAGAATTTACAATGTAAAAGCAGATAATGTCGTGTCTAGGTTTTATATCATGTCTATGGTAAAACTAGCCCCTTAAATGTGGCCAATTTACTGGACTAGGCCTACCTCTGTAAATAAATGCCACAATTGGAACATGGGCGATTGTAAGTCTGAGTAATTTGGACCCAACTTATCGCCTTCTTAACATTCGGACATGGTCTGGCGATAGTAGGGTCCAAGCTAAACCGCTTATGTCAAGCGACACAACGCTCACATTGACCCAAAACCCCGACATTGCCCAACAAAAACATCAGATTTCACCCTTAAAACGGCCTCCAAATTAATACGCCACCTGAGGTACGAGTAGACACCTGAGGTACGAGTAGACAGTGGATTTTGTTCCCTATAGGAACCGGGCCCGTAGATACACGATCGCCGGAACATGTACCCGAAAATGTAGAACTTTGTCAAATTTTGATTTTCATATTAAAGACTTTATTTATGCTTTAGTTAGAAGCACACTCAGACTAGTATAGACTAGGGAAAGATTTCCATATGCGAAGTTCACAAATTTTCCTCTGTATTGACTAACAAGCCCCCAGATAGCAATTTCATGTCATCAAAGTCAATTTGAGCAGTGAGAAAATACAAGCATTTTCTTAGAAAACACTTAGAGTTTTTCAGTCCAATGTCATAGGGTTTGTACACAGGGTGTTGATTGAACTTCGTATATGGAAATCTTTTCCATCACAGGTTTGCTTGCACACGTTTGCGTATCTGCCGGTATCTAGTAAATTTCAACACGAAATTAAACATGGCATGCAGTTTTCAAAATACACGTGCAGTACGCATGGTACGTACTATATACAAAATGTAGCTGGTCAGCATGCATTGTTTACGTATTCCTCACAGCCAGAGGTTAGTGAAGGAACGTCGAGCATGTTGAGGCTTGGTTGCAGATGTTGTGCCCATTCTTGAAAATCACGCATTCTTAAGAATGTGCAACTGGATCCTTGCGCAATCTTCGCAAAAAATAACTCTTCCAGATTGAGCGCACATTCTTAAGAATGCGCGACAAGATAATGGTCTTGTCGATGCCGAGCACCGGCTACGCTTGGCAAGTCTAGCTGCATCCTCGTTCACTGATTCTCAATAATTATACTGTTGCAACGCACGCAAGGCGCTGAAAAGTAGAGTGGATATGATAAGTATAAGCGTATTGATATGGGGGGGGGGGGGGGACTGGGGAAAAATAAGAGACATAATAATACTAGTGGAAAGAATTCTGATTTTTGGGATAATAAAAGCGGGGGGGGGGGGGGGGGGAACGTAAGAATGAAGAATGTGAAGAATGAGAATGAATACTGCGACATCCCATAGTGGTAATGCTATTTCCCATTTAAATTGCCACCAATTTATTGTTCACACCCCACCATTACGTCGCAGAGCTGGATTCTATCTAGTCAAAAGAGCAATTTTGGCAGCTTCTGGACATCGTTTTTTTTGTGGCATGCATACAGGGACTTGTAACTTGTCTAGCCTAAACAAAGCACTTCCCAGACTAGTTCCCAGTCCTCCGTTATTACAAAACTTCCCATAGTGGGCAGTTATACGAGTACAGAAGCATAGAACATTTTCTTTCCTCTTTATATAAATTGTTTCCATTTTAACCGCTATACATTTCATTTAACATAATTATGTCGTGCAATGTTTGTTAAGATTGGGCAAAATTCATAAATTGTGCACGTGATATTCCCACCCAATCTTAAGAATGAGCGCTCATTCTTAAGAACGCGTGCTCGTTCTTAAGAATGGGCGCTCATTCTTAAGAATGCGCGCACATTCTTAAGATTGCGTGATTTTCAAGAATGGGCACAACACAGACACTATACCTCCACGATGCCAGTAAATAAGCCACCACAGACCCAAATCCCCCACTTCCGACATTCAACAACATGTTCAAATTAAAGTTATTTCGTCTTCTTTCATTTCCTGTTCAACTTAGTTTCACGGTTATAAGCACTTTCATTCCATGGTATGTGATGATGATGTACATTATTGCACATTCAGCGATCTTGCTCAATCGACCTGCGCCGCAACCATGTGGAATTTTGTATGTTAAGTTTTCATAAGATGGAATTTTGCGTCGGGGTGATGTAAATCAAATTAGGGTTTTTTTGGTGCCCTTCACAGACGTATAAACACTGTATACCCAGTGTGTTAAGTTTTCTTTGTCTCAGATTTTGCGCGTCCATTTGTATATTGAACGTGTTGAACAATATTTCACAAGATGCGTGGACGCAGTTCTACAACGATAGGTTAACTGCTTATGCCATGGGGCAAATTTATGCACGTTGCTGTGTACGCATGGTCAATCAAAAACTTCTGCGTTGCCAAGTCATCATGCGTTCCAGCATTCATTCCAAAATACGTCTGCATACTTCCAGCAGCACAAGTTCCTTTTGCCCTGTGAACAAGATGCATTAACGTGAAAGTCCTTTTTGTGGGGGGGGGGGGGAGGGGAGGGTGTTGACCAATGAGTTTTGGTAGAATATTCCATCCAAAGATGATGACCCCTAAATCTTAGTCCTGAAGCCCATCATCACCATGTTAAAAAATTATGCCTGTGTTCTATTGCAAATTTGAGCAATAGTAGGGCCCATTTTCACCCAAATTTCACATAAATATCAGTCATGTCCACCGTTTCGAACCCTTCTTTTTCACAAACCCTCAAGTTTATGGCCCTCAAAATGCTCTAACCTGTTTTTAACCAAACGATTGAGGGCATGCAAATTGCGATTTGGCCAGCAGAGGCAATTTTGGACCTATTTTAGTCTGCACTCTTTATGCATTTTGCCTTTAAACTCATTTCAGTTGTCTTTTATTTCCGTTTGGCAGACTTTGTGGAGCAACAACAGAACAAACGTCCCTACTACTACTACCACAGGCAATACCGGCGTGTGACCCCGGTCGAAGATTGCAATACCGACGACTATGTGTGTCTGTATGAAGCTGAGATGCAGTACAGGAGAGATAGGTATGCAGTACAGGAGTCCTTATGGACTCGGTTCACCATTAACCCTATCCACCCCAACTCCATCAAAATCCATCACCCATTTTGGTGGATTTTGGGGGACTTGGTCCAAAAGGCCTGGCGTGACTAAATATTGATGGAGTATGATGGACTTGGGCCTAATGGCCTGAAGCAGTGCTAGAGGTATCCAATTGAGTTTGCCTAACTTCCCTTACTGCTATTGTGATAATAGCCATGTGTAGCAAGTCCATGAATGTCGATCAGTGCATCAGTGGTGGATTTCATTATGTCATGTACAATTTTGTATTAGACGCACAGTGAATGATAGATTTTGATGGAATTGGTCCAGTTCCTAGTGAAAGACACCAGGGAGTAAAAGTAAATAAACCATCTTGTCCCACCTGCTAACTTTTCCTGCCCGTTCCATTAAAAAAAAATCATACATTTGCAATCTAGTTTGTATTTTTATGTGTTTCCAGCAACATTATAGCCATGTAAGTTCAAAAATCTGGTAGAAAGGGCGACAGCTTTTTATCAACAAACGAGTCAAGAAAACTGAAGAATCCATCCACCATCTTGGAAAATCCGCCAATGCCGCCTTCTTTATTAAAAAAAATTCCAGGAAAAGAAACTTTTTTTTTACTTACATGAGAGAGTTAGTCAGGGCCCTTGAATGCATTGGGGCCATACATGTATGCCTGGCGCTCATGTGAAGACAAAGCAGAGTTCGGCACATTCAGATGAAGAAAACAAATTGTGCATCGCATAACTTGCACTGTGCATGCCCGAACAATTGCACTTACACCAAGTGCGTAGGGTTACAAGTCTAAGGGGCGTGGCTTACTCTCAAACGGCGATAGGTCAATTGCATGTTTTCCTACACTGCAAGGCAGAAGATAGTCTTGGTCCGAGACGTTACTATCTGTTGCAGCTGATGTTTGCTACGCATGAACGTGTACACTTTCGCATTATATTCCATCAACAGAGGGTGCAATTAACAGGACGAGAGCGCTATCTGATGACGGTGGAAGTCCAGAATCGAATAAATGTCTGCGGGAGTTGATATCCGCTAGAGAAACATAATCCATCACAGAATTGATGAATACTGTGGAATCGATTATAAGTAAACAAATTGGCATTAATGTTTGTGGGCGTGTACATAATTCCCCCCCCCCCCCCCAAAAAAATGAATGCAAAAAAAACCCCACAAAGGTCTTGGAACCAAGACCAAGCAGATGAAAGGCAAAATGAAACAGAAAAGATGGCTTTCATTGTATTCACTGTGTTCTTTGTTGTCATTTTTTATCCTTCATCTCTTAGGTTGGTGGATCAGCAGATCATTATCCAGCTCCAGGAAATGGTCGGGGAGTGCTCGACGAGGGAAGGACCCAACGCCAAGTCTGCATGCAGACCTCTCCTGGATGAATATGACGAGGCTGCGACAAACTACGACATCAAATGTGAGTGAGACATGTTGGAGATTATATTTTCTAACAAAGTTCTGACAGATCAGTTTAGGGGAGTTTTTTTTGTTGACATTGTGGGAATATTCCTGGATTCCGCAAATAGCATTCGTCACTCTCATGACAGCCACCTCTATGTGTGACAATTTCCTTTCAATGGGACCTATGATAGAATGAAACAGTGCTCCCTCTAGATAAAAGCCAAGCTGTAATAGGTCATCAAAAAAGAGTGCCATAAAGTTTTAATTGAGCACCGTGCATGTACGCTTTAATACTTCAATTGGCTTTCATAATATCAATCACCCGAACTCCCTTTTCTAGGATGCAGCCTTAGTCCTGCAAAATCATCCAACTGCCTCCATGTACAAATTGTATACAGCCTCAATCCTCCAAAATCCTCCGTCATTTCCTGAATGTTATCCTTGTGGGGGTGACCTCTGCCTCAATCCTGCAAAATCCTCCATCAATCACTGTCAATATGTTGAGGCACAGCCAGTGACATCCTGGAGCAGTGCAAAGGATTTCAAGTTTAATCTAGGGCTAAATTATGCATGGCTGAGCAAAAACAATGCAAGGTCCGGCCCAAGACCTTGACACACTTCATCCTCCAAAATCAGCCACACATTTTTGCCATACAACCTCAATCCTTCAAAATCATCTATTTTGGAAAGAGAATTTTGACGGATTTGGGAAGGTTAGGGTTAAGAAATAAAAACTCCCTTTTTTTTTAAAGCCCAAACTACATTGTACCGTCAGAATACTGGCAACATAATAGTATTGAACCGAAACAAAATGAATTCTCTATATTTGATGTTTTTTTTGAAATCGTTGTTACAGATGGAGGTTTAGGGGCAGCTGGCAATGCAGTCAGATGCATGATGAAACAGAAACATCGCATGTTGGAGGACAGGAGAAAAGCCAAAGAAGCCGGTGAATAGACCCAAATGATGTGCAACAACATAATGTATTTATGTAGAGTACATGTACTTGAAGTTCTGGAGTTTTTGACATGTAGGTGATTTTAAGTTTGGAGGAGGGTACATCGAGAGGTTGTTGTAGATTCTGTTTTGGATAAAGAGGGCTTTTGATGCTTATTTTGGCTCTTCCCCTTTGTTGATGGAAACCTTGGGTACATGGTGGGTTCATGTACATTGTGTACTTTCCGGAGGGAATATTAATCTAGGAGCAAAGAGACTGGACCCATGTCAATTTGCTGACTTGCCGATCATCTTCCTCTTGAAACAAACTTGGGCAAGTCTGCCCTTCCAGATTTGTGTGGGTTCCTGAACAGGTTCTACATAGAGACTTTTAAATACATGTATACTTGTAGTGAGAATGGAATGCATGTACATTTGTACACTGAACAAGCAATGTGGGAATGGTATTTGCTGTTGACGATAATATCTATACTGAGGAAATGATTGAATGAAAGATTGTATAAAAATGTGCCTGCCACACTTTTGGCTACACCCAATTGGATCGAGGTTGACAAGGCTTTCCACTTTAGCCCTAACCCCCTTGAGTGGTTTCCTAGGAACCTTCCTCACTCTTGCAAATTCCAACACCACTATGGTAAACTCTACACCCAAACTGTTGGACTGATTGTGGTGGTTTGTCCAACCCCATGTACAGCATAATTGTACATTGTACAGTACTCACTCCAACAGATTCCTACAAACCCTGGTGTTGGAGTTTGACTGGATGGGGATTGTTAAGGTTTAATAATACATTCACACTGTATGTTAGCCAGTACATGTACACTGTACGGTACATTGTGCAGTACTCACTCCAACAGATTCCAACAAACCCTGGTGTTGGAGTTTGACTGGATGGGGATTGTTAAGGTTTAATAATACATTGACACTGTGTGTTAGCGTTTTATGGTCTACATGAAGCAATCATAACTAAGCTGTGTGTGACCGCATTGTTGCTCCATTGAACCACTGGTTACCTTTGAGAGTTGAATAAAAGTTGTTTTACTGCTGAGAAATTGGTTGTTCAGATGTACACTGGTTCTTTTAAAATTGCACTTTTTTGGTCTTAATCATTCAGTATGCTAGGTGAAGTTTTTCTGCGCACTCAAGAAGATAGGGACTACTGAAAGTAAAGATGTGAAGTAAAGATCCTCTTCACCCCTGCATAAAAATACAGGGCATTTCCCCCCCCCCAAAAAAAAGAGATTAACCTTAGCCCTCCAAGGGTATTTTGGCCAGAAACCCTGCCAAACACAGCAACATGCAACACTTGACTATTAGTGACAAGCCTGCCCAGTCTAGCAAGATCCATCAGGTCAAAAGTCTTGTGGCCAAACTGCCAGAGAGTCTCTGGTAACCGAATAAAGCAGGATACAACTGTGGCATTGTTTAATGGGATTTAACTCCCTTTTTTTTCAGAAATTGGCCGTTTATGCACTGGCGCTGAATGCATCAAAATTAAGGCAGAAAATAAGAATATGTACGTAAACTGTACATGTTTATTTAGCGGTTTTTTTTAATACAGATTGAAGGTTTAGAAAACCTTTGGTCATAAACAGTATCCATTAAGTGTGATGAATACAAAATAAATACCACTAGACTTCATTATTTTTAATCTCATGCAATTTTATTGACCGCAAATTCTTAACACATGCAATTGCAAAATAAAAATATTTGTGTTATCTTGTCATCTTTAAAAAGTGTTCCACCAGATGAAACATCAGAAAAACAATGGAAATTGCAAACTCTTTTATAGAGTTACATGTACAAATGGACATTTATGTACAATATGACATGCACTTGTGGTACAACAATGAATTGTTACAAGTGGCAATATTGTTGAGATAGTGCATCTTTCTATGATGGAAAATAAGTAAGAAGGATTAAATTAGGTGCTAAAAAAACAGTTACTGTACATACACAATGTTCAAAATTTACATACTTTTCTTCCAAAAGATATGTTTAGGAATAAGCCCAGATTTTTTTTCAAGCAATTTATCCATTTCTCATGCATTGCAAAGACTTTTGTCGAATATCAAAATTGCTAATCTATGTACAAGCTGGACGGAATCATTTTCTGTGCAAGATTCATCAGGTTGGGTATTGGTAAATACATGTAACTATAAAAATAAGTGCATTTTGGTGATATACATGTAATTAATAACCATTTAATATTCATGATTTTTTTAATCCCCAACATGTACAAAAGAAACCCCCACTGATTTTAGCATTTTTGCTTGAACGCAATTATGAAAACTTTGATTTTTATTAAGCATGCAGCGCACTTACAACTTCTCGGCTCTCAACACACCTTCATTTCGTCAAGGGATACACACTCTTAGCATAGATCACAATAGACGGTAAATCCCCCCCCCCCCCAGCTTTTCAGACAGTAGTTAGAAAAGACCCAGTTGATTGCATCATTACTGGTAACCAACCAGTCTGGAGGTTGATGGGTACCGGGTGCGGAATTTCATGCACTTGTCGCGGTCGATGAAGATGCTGTTTTTCTTGAGGGCGATCTGTTGTTCCAGAGACATGCGGGTGGCCATCAGGTCGTTGAGCGAGGCGCGGGAGTCGGCGAGTTTCTGCTCCAATCGATCGATGGAGTTCTGGACGTCGCCTACTTCTTGGACAAGCCTGTAAGCATGACCCCAAAACAATGTATGAGTTCACATAGAATGTTTTTGGGTTTATTTTATCATGATTCTAAGCTGGGTTATAGCTTTTTTCTCCAAACTCTATCCAGAAAATGCAGCGTTGTGATCGATCAGAAGTCCATCACTAGTCAACCAGTCTCAAGCCAACTCACAAGCTATTCAAATGAACTGTTATCATCCATCACAGGTTATGTGTACTTCTGAATTGACTTGTGAGTTACTTGCGATCGGACTTGAGATATACTTTTGATGCATCGCAAGCAGCACGACTACAACACTGGGAAAATAGACAACAATCCAACAGCTTGGCTTAAAAAATGGCAGACAATGGGAGACTTTTGAGATGTTGGTGGCAGCAAACATACCGGTCCTTTTTCCATTGTTTACGTCATGCTTATGTCATGTTAAGCCAAAGGGCGCTTGCTCAATGTGACGCAAACAATGGAAAAAAGGACCAGTATGTTTGTTGCCACCAACGTCTCAAAAGTCTCTCGTTGACAGATAAATCAATGGGTTCAAAAGAAATACATTAGTTAAAGTTTGACGTGTATAATTTGATTCATACCTGAATTGGGCTGGGTCTCTGCACAGCTCAACGTTAGGCCGGTGAGTGCGGTGATCCAGGCGTGTCTGGGCAACCTTCATGGGCGCCTCCTTGTTCTTGATCTCCTGCTCCAGGAAATCAATATTCTTCTCCATCTGGGCAATCTCTTCGACAGTCTGTTGGCAAAATGAAAATATTGAAATATCATAGAAACAATTTCAGAATCCAGGAGGCCTCTTTTCAACTACACAGTCAACCAATGTACACTGTACTTGATATTTTACAGCACTTAATGTCATCTTATTCTTTACATGAGAACATTACAACACAAAAACAAATGCATTGAACATGTATGCCATTTTGGCAACTACTACAAGAAGACGTTGAGATTTTTCTTAGTGCACTGCGTTGAATTCCATCACCAAGGTAACATCTCCCTGGAGCACCTGTCTGTATCCCGTTTGTTAGTAAAAATGTCACAGACGCGCGCACCACTGATAACTAGCACCCATTGGCTAAATACTCAAGTTGCGTTAACTTTTGGTTCCATTCGTGCTATGCTACACCGTGTGAGGTTCGCATGGTTAAGTTCAGATGAAGTCACACTAACGAACCTGATCGTGAATCAATCCCATTTAATGTAAAAAAAAAAAAATTGGTTTTCTTTGGCTTACAGAAAAGCAACTTACACAAGACTGATCTAAAAAGCCACGCCCCATAAAGTTTCGACCAATCACAGCAGTGACTGCACAATCACATATTCAACAAAAGTCTGATTAAATATCTGTGCACTTAGGCATCACAAGCAACTCGAATATGCAGCGTGGCACGGCACTGGGGAAACGCACGAACATATGAAGTGGGCGGGGGCTTGAGCCAAATCCTGAACGATCCATCGGACATGTGAGACTGAGTCGCAGCTGGAGCATTCATAACAGCATTGGGGAGACACGTGTTGTTGCCCATGACCATGTGCGAAGTAAGCAGGGCTTACCTTCTGAAGGTGGTTCTCATGCGCCGTCTTGGCATCATTCATCTCCTGGATGCGGTTGGTGAACTCGGCGTTGACGGTGTTGCACTGTTCCCTCATGTCGTTGGAGGTGTCCGTCAGGATCTGGTCAATCAGATTCCTGAGGGCCTGGGAGGCCAACCGCTCATGCTCGGCACGGACAATGTTGTCGTGGGAAAACTGAGCCCAGGACTCGGGTGTGGATTGCCTGAAAGATTTAAAAGAGAAAACGTCATACATGTACTGCGATTTTATTACAAGTTTGCACAAAGTAAAACAAAATTAAACAATCACAAATGGTATTTGATAGTCAAGGTTTGGTTCTCAATTGTTTTGGGGAGGATTAAACTGAAAAGTGAACACTTTGAGTTGATTTCTAGAAAGTCATTTTCTTTTGCAGGGAATGCGCTACTTGTACTATACCATTTCTAGGTATTGAAAAGTCTGTTTTAAGAAATCTCTGGGCTTCTATTTGTAGTTTACTGAGTTGCAGATGGTTGGTCCTTTGTTGAGTATGCTGTCCATAAGAAGCTTTTTAATTCATGAAATATTTTTCAAGTCATTTTGAAACTGAGCCGCTATCAATTACGGGTAAGCTTCGTTTAAAAAACCCTAAACAACGGAGGTGTTTAAAGGTGAAAGATAAGCAGTCTTATGTAAGCTGGTGGAAATGACAAAATCAACGATTAGCCTTAAAATTCAAAACTCCAGTAGGATGCAGAAATACTTACGATGCGTCAAATTTGGCAGAGCCTTCCTTGTACTGGATCTCTGTTGAATTGTTGTTGAGGTTGGCGCACTTTTCGTCAATGTTGTAGTCTCGGACCTTGTCAGACCAGTCCATGGTTAGCTTGTGTTTTCCACCCCGGTTCAATCTGGAAAGTAAGGCATGCAAACATTTGACTTTTTATCACAACGATTTGACAGAGAAGGGCGATAAGTGTCCATAGAATTCTGTACAGGATCAAACCAATCAAGAAAACAAAATTGAGGAGTTTTCTCTCTTTTCTGCATTCTTAACATGGTTTCTTTGACCAGCACTATGATTAGTACAGGTCTACATTGTACACTGTTGTGCTGTTTGTGTTGAGAAGGGGTTGGGGTTGGAAGGTTCTTCCTTGCGAAGATGAACTTACTTGATTTGTCTGTCGGCTTGCTCCAAGGTTCTCTTCAGCAAGTCCTGAACTTTACTGATAATTTCTACCTCCTGTGATCAATAAAAAAAGATGTTAAAAATTAAGCTTTATAGAAGAATACATGTATTCTGACAGTATATTTAGACAGCCTTGGATTGAGAAATAAAATTAAAACCATTGGAGTGGTTGCTCATTTAGGTTCGTATCAATCACCTTATTCAGTGCCAACTCCACTCTGTCTCCAACCAAGTCAATTTCTCTCCGCCTTGCCCGGCAGTCAAGGTTATCTCTTGCGATCATCATAGGCAGCTCTGTGGCATCCAAGGCATTGGCCAGTCGTTTCTTCTGGGCACAGAGGAGATCGGTCTCCTCAATCATCTCCTCGATCTCCCGATTCAGCTCAAACTTCCAGAAGTTGATGTCGTGCATGCGCTCGGCGAGCTTCTTGGTGACGTCGGCCTGGACGCGCTGTGTCAGAGCCTCGGTCTCGTTGGCCAGCTGCTTGGACTCGTGCCGCAGCCGCTCGGCATTGTCCCTGTCGGAGAAGCTCTGGTAGTACTTGGAATAGTTGGCCTCATGCCACTCCTGGGGGATGTGCTTCCCCGATCGGAAGCCCATGGATACCGGGGCACCCATGGCCGAGCCCCGGATGCCTGTCTCAGAGAGGTTGCTCATGTTGGCCAGGCTCTGGGCCAGCTCGGCATCAGTCCTTGTCCCGACCGTGCCCTTGTAAGGAGACATGGGCATGGTTGGGGTGCGAGATTTGGAGAGCAAGGTGGATCCTGCCATCGCCATCTTGAGAGGTGAATTTTGACTGTGAAGTTTCTGATGGTCAAACAAATCTGGGGAAAAAAAGAAAATTCAATAATTTGAATAGAAATGTGCACAACTGTTTTTAATATACAGTAGGCCTATATAGTACAGACAACTTTGTTTTGTTTTTTTAGTTGATAAAGATTAATAATACTGGGCCTCTAATTAATATCAGAAGAAGTAAACATCAAAATAGCTTGGCTAGCTAGCCCAAAAAAATGGGGGCGGGGGGCAAAACAAAAAGTGAAAAATCACAAAACCTTTCTTTTCAATTTCAAACAAACACTGCCTAAACATTAAAAATATACAAGCTAGTTCAACCATGGTGCAAAGAAGATATTTCAACTTTCCATGCTCTTATCAACCATTGTAAACTTGGTCCTCAGAGCCCGGCGAGATGACAGCCTGCTTGTCATTCCAAAATTACCAACCTGAATTGAACTGAAATTAAATTCGGACCAAGTAAGAGATCGTTTCACTTTCAGAAATGAAAATTTCACTTGTCGAATACTAATTCGTTCCCTTGAATTTATAATTTACTCAAAAAATTTCGAAATGCATGATTACTTCAATCTACCAGAAATAATAATCTTACCGGAGTGCACTAATAAACACGCGTCCACCTGTTTCTTCTTCAGTTCATGGAATGAATGGAACAACCTGTCCCCTATCAACAACACGCGACAGCGCCCCTATGTTACTGGTTGCTATGGAGAACGTATTCTACATATTGTTCTCTGGATTATGATTGGGTATCGGCCTTGGCAACGGCGTAATCTCGCAAGATCTCGTGAGCCCGGACTAGTCTGCACCCCTGACCTTTGTTTGCAATGTCTGCGATACTTTGTATAAATAAACAGGGCACCAGACATTTATGTGGTTACGTCTATCCGACGGCTGATGTATGAATAGACTATACTTCTATAAAATGTTACTGTTTCATGTTAAATATTACTGTTTCATACTTATTGACAAAGCGCGGATGTCCTTATTTTTCATTTTTATGAATCGTTTCAAAAACGTGGTATTTAATTCTTATATAAATCAAAATATTACTCAGTTGTATCTTTTTTTTGGGATGAAATTTTCTCTCAAGCCCGTCAACTCTGTGCATGTAAAGTTAAGCTAAGTGGTGCATTAAAAAAACCACAGGTAGGCATGGTGGTCACATGGCATGACGTCATGCGGTCATATTAGGTGATCCATCACTTCCTGTCGATCTGATTCCGCAGCTGTTGTGAATCTGCGATATTCTGCATTGAGACGTCCAAGAAAATGGCCAAAATATCCGGTTTGTGACATCGCTGAAAGCCGATGTGAAACAGGTATGTAGACTATAAAATCAAGAATTGCGTATCTTGTGAATTGAAACAGAATGTAATTTTTCAAAGGGGAAATAAAAGTGACCTTTTTGTTTGCCGGAACTAGACGAATGTGAATCTTTTCGTGTTGAGTGTTGTGTGTTGTGTGCATGATGTTGTGCATTGTTCGTTCGGGTAAGCGTTCGTTCAACGACAACAATGAGTGCATCAACTCAAGTTCGGTGTGTGGCATTGCGGCTTCGTCATGTTCATTGTTGAGCTGAAGTGTAGAATTAATCATAATGTTTTGAAGCAACTCTTCCTACTTCGTTAATATAATGGTAAGATTTACTTTGTTTCCTCATAGTAAAGAACACACTGACTGTCGCTTGATAGAATTTAAAGATCACGTGGCATGGCATGGCACTTAGGCCTACCAAATTGGCCAAGTTCGGGCAAGGACCATGGCATTAGTCGACTAGTGGTGGTTGATTTGTGACGTACCTTACGCCTGCGCACTAATAGCAACGTGCGAACGTCTCTAGTCAAACGCTGGACAAAATGTCATCGCAAAATTTCTGGATCCTGGCTCTCTGCTACTGCTAGTGCTAGCGTTATGGATGAGCGCGGCTATTGGTTACCAGCGAAGCAACCAACCCCAGCAGGCTGGTTCCAAATAGTCGACTAGCATAGTCAACCATCGTCGACTAGACAGAGTTCGGGCAAACGTTAGTTAACCATTGGTCAACTATAGTCCTTGCGCGAACTTGGCTATTGATTCAATTTAGCATAGACATCACAGTAAACTTCCAAACCACCTTTTTTAAGAAAATAGAAAAATAGATTTGGTTCAAAACTAGAGTATGACTATGAATAATAATAAAATTAAACTTTATATTGCGCGGTCTACATAAAAATGATCGAATGCGCATTACATAAAACACCAAGGAAATTACATTAAAAAAAAACGAAATAAAATCGTTACAACTTATGTTAAAAGAGGGGCAAACTACTGGAAAATATGTCAAGACAATAAAAAATTAACAATACACCGATACATAAACATCAACATTAGATAAAAACCTGTTTAAAAAGACGACTGAACAGTAATTCTGGGGCTGATGATAGGCGTAGATGAGCAACAAAATTAGTTAAAAGCCAGTTTAAAGAGATAGGTCTTTACTTTACACTTAAAAATGTCAATGGACTGCAATTGTTGGATATCAGCAGGCAACTTATTCCATACTCAGGGGCTGCATATGAAAAAGATCTACCCCCCAGTATTATGAATATTCGACACTTGGGATTTTCCAAACACACTTTATTGTTGGAACGTAAACAGTAAGCGGACGTCTTCTTAACACCAACAAGATCACTGATGTACTTTGGGGATAGACCGTGTAAAGCTTTTAACGTTAAAAGAAGTATTTTAAAATCTATACAAAATTTTACTGGCAGCTAATGTAATTGACACAAGACCGGTGATACATGTATGTGGTTTTTAGAAATGTCCATAAAGACAGTAATGTCAATGGGAGGATCATGCCGATCAATTTGTGTTACATATTCTGTGAATTGGGTTATTAAAAATTATGCTGACCCAATACTGACATTGTTAGGGAATACTGTCCACAGCAACCCGGGAGCAGAGCTTAGAGTCATAGATGGCAATTGATAGACAATATACAATGTATGTCAATGTTTGTAGTACGCCTAGTACTACACGACATAAAACAAATGTATATGAACAGGAATCCAGTGCTAAAAAATGCTGTAAAGTTTGCCCCTAAACCCCGTCTGATACTTTTGACATACACGTATATGCATAGCCTAAGCATGTACGGTACCAACCAAAGAATGGGTGGAATCGGTCCCGATTTTGCAAAAAGGGGTGAAAATTTTACCCTGAAACAACATCCATGGACACACTTACCTGTGCACCAGTGTGCACATTGGAAAAGTGGCTGCGATTGACTTGCCTGACCATGGCTTGAAATGACAACACGTCTATGGGATGCCGCTGCCGTAGGCGCTTCTTAGCTATATCCCAGCATGCCTTGGTTATGACAGTAGCATCAGATGGGCCAATCCCAGGGCGCTTCAATAGATCTCTCAAAGGGCGCCATCTTCATAGGAAAAACTGCCATCAGGTATATTCAACGCCATCAGGTGCGTGTGTACATGTACATGTACGCAGTGTACAAAATGTTGTAAACAGGTGCGCATGTTGCTCAAAATTTCTTCGAAATACGGTGCAGCCGATGCGTGTCAAGAAAATTTGATGCCCAAAATGCCAATGCGCATGGCAATCTGTAGGAAATAACGTCATTTGAGAGAGACCTTGTCATGCTACATTGTACGTATCCTCGGCACGATAGGATGTATTTTCAGTGAAATGCTGAGGCCGTTTTGCAAGCTTCGGCTCCGTCTCCTGCTTCAGCTCCATTGCCAAACTGCATGCCTGAAGCCAGAGGCAAGGACAAAGCCAAGACTTGGAAAAAGGCCTCAGATTTACCATATGACCACACATGCAGCAGCACCCTCCAAACTTTCTCCAGTGTTCAACAGCTAGAATCAAAAGGATCTCTTCAAGGACCAAATCAAATTCAGATCAAATCAAAATTCAACAATTATTGACTGGCATTTCCCTTCAGGATTATTGTTGTAAATAAGCAGGAGGAAAAAATGTTGCAACCGGACGCTACTTCCACGACTGTCTACAAAGTCTAAGGAGAGTCAAGAAAATTTCCTAACCATTTCCTAACAAAATTGGAAATGTTTCTCATTCCCAGAATCATGTCTTATCATCATTTTTGCAATGAATGACCTTCATTGAGATGATGAAGAAAAAAGTGGCGTCAGGTTGCAACATTTTTCCCAGCAGGATTTCATGAAGTTATTGAAAACTGGTATACATTTCAGTGTTTCATGTTTCTTACAATATATTTTTAAGGAGTAGGCTACTAAATCTCTACTCTTTTAACACATATCAATACTCTTGCATGATTCAGTCTAGCAGGAAATTGTTCCGGACTGGCCTCCAGTTTATCAACTTTTATGCGCAGCGTTTGACACTTTAAATGTGATATATTGGGAGACCAAGGCTCAGCACTAAAATAAATCCAAGCCTGCTTGCTGGGAGGGTTAATAATTGTCTCAATGTGGACATTGACTCATGAAGCTCAAAATGTGGGAAAGAATGCCTCATTTTTTATATCTTGGTCATGAATGATTTCCCGCTACACTTGGTCACTCAAGAGTTCAGAATTGCATGTAATTTAAATGGGAAGCGATGCACATGTACGCATTGTGTTTCTGTTACAAAGTGTGAAATCCTGTACATGTACTACATTGTAGTAAAACTACAGAATGATTTTCAACAGTAACAATTTCAGCAGGAACAAAATCAGCTAAATTATTTCAGTCAAATTGTGTAACACTACCATTATACATACACCGGTACATAATACATAAAATACATACACCGGTACATGTACAACAGGCCTTTTGTGTTCAAATGTGTTCCTGGTCATTTTAAAATTTTGATTTGTGTTTATTACATGTACATGTATGTGGATTTGCAGTTGGAAAATCCTCTGAAAGTGATGTCATACTAATTTTTGCACATACATGCATTTTGTACTGTACATAGGACCGGTTGTAAAGGAACAGGAAACTTTAAATATTCCCAAAATAAACACTGTAAGGCCAAAAAAAATAATAGTTCTGCTTTCAGTTACCCTACCTACACATGTAGTACATGTACGTACATGTACCCTATTTTGACAGCCCCTATCCTAATTTGGTTTGGGAAAAATGAGAAAAAAAACACCAAAACTCATCAATTGCTACAGGTCATTTACCCTTGACTACATGCAGACACCTCCATATGATCGTACACAAAAAAATTGCCAAAAAAAACAAAACTCGCTACCTACCTATTTTCAAATGCCATGTAATCAAAAGCATTTTTTTGACCTAATGAGTACTAACATACATGTAGCCTTTAAAAAAATGACATACATAATTTGTAAATAAGTATGTGTCCCTGAAAAGATATGTAATTAAAGTTACAAAAAAAGGACCAGGAACTAGAACATACATGTACCCTGTATGAATGAATCTTCACCAAAAGAACTTGCTTGCAAGTTGAACTGTTGAAAGCATGATTTGCACTCAAAGTACCGGGTACTTTTAATGCCATTTCTTTTTACTAGTACCGGTACATGGACTTCAAGCATAAAAACAAAGGCCACGTGTGTATTCATTAACTGATTTCTAGTGTTAAAACTGGTGTACCAGTACAAATGAACACATGGCCTGCATGTGTTCCGTTCTGTGCTTTGTCTCTGAAGTTCTTTGTCCAATGGCTTTCTTGTGTTGAACTTTTTACGCTACGTTAAGTTTTAATACTGCTCTGTGGTCAGGGCATCATGGGTACCAGCCAGTCTGTCATTGATCAAGCATGTGCCATGTTGAAACAGCAGGAAAAAGAAATGGGGGGATTTTTCAACCAGAAATTATACTTGAACAATACAAATGTTTTTAGAAGAGTCTGGTTTATGCAACATTTTGAAAACTTTTTTTTCACATTGTGGGCAGGTGGATAGACTCTACAGCAGCTTTACCTAAAAAATAAATTCTTTTTTTCAAATATGTTATTTGTCAAGTGCTGTAAAAAAAAAAATGCAGCGTATTTAGAATTTTACCCAAAGTGTACATTTCTTCCTACAAACCTTGGGGTAATTTACATTCAATTCATTAATACCATAAGTTACACATGTGTAAAAACTGTCAACTATGATTCTGGATAAATTTTTAGCTATGACTCGCTTACCCTCCCTCTCTGGCTGTCAAATTCAACACAGCTATCCCAGCAGTCAAAATCAGTCAAGTCACTGTTTTTAACAGTTAAGACCTCTCAGCCTACAATAAAGCAGGATTGACTGGCTGTGACTGTTTTAGTACATTTGTAACTTGATGCAGCTTTGCCTTGATGGTTGGTGAGTGTTTATAAAGCCAGT